TGGGCCTTGGTGTCTCTTGTTTATTACGAGCGTGTGCTGGGACGAGCCCGGCTCTGCGTTCTAACGCTGTCTTGGACAAAGAGACTTTATAATTACATTTGTATTTCCCCTCCTGCCAACTGGTCATGACAGGGGTTTTGACATCTCAAACTGCCAAGCAGAAAGACCCTTCCATCCCCGTATCATCTTTGCCAAGGGAAATACTAAGACTCATACTCTTCCAATGAATGTTCTAATGTTAAAATATCATACTATTATAATGTTTTTTTTGTTCACTAAATCATAAACGTTGTATCTGCCACTGCAGAAATTATTATTATTCTGTAGACTACGTAGTTTATTTTGTGTCCAGTCAGTCATTTCCGCAATTTCTACGGTGTGTGCCAGATCAGAAAAGGGCGTTTTCTGCACTAGAACCACAGTAAGGGGCTGTGTGAATGTGGACATTAACCCTGTTATTGCCAGGGGTGAGAACTCACATGGACATGTAATGCCCGTCTCAATTCTCAGGTGCACTTCCAGGGACTTGTACCATACAAGCAGGGCCAGATTAAGAGCCCAGTGGGCCTGGTGCTGACAATTCTGACGGGCCTAATTACAGAATCATATCGACCAAAAACAGTAAAACACTCATAAGCATCATGTATCTGATGGAGATGGTGCTGGAGAGAAAGAAAACAGCAGCTATAAGAAAACACATACCCTAAGCTAATCTCTCTCTAATTTATGTTTTCAGCTTTCAAGTAAATCCATAACCCCTAACAGCAACGTCCAATCAAGCAGGAAGTCAATGGGCACGATAAAAGGGTTTGCCACTGACACAAATCACGTAACCTGCCAAAACGGGCAAACATGCCCAAAAAGAGGACATTTCTGCTCAAAGAATTAGAAGGCCAGCCTGGTATGAATGCATGTCAGGCTGCCTGCCAATCATGCAGCTGGCCAACTAAGGGCATACTATGCAGACAACACCCTGAGCTTGGCATAAATGCATCTAATGATGCGCTCACTCAACGCTTTCTAAGGACTGTCCCCTAGCACTCGCTGGTCCACTTGTCTCCTTACCTTCTTACTAGCAGGCAGAAGATCCTGGTATATGGTCTGGGACAGAGTAAAGCTATATGTAGTGAGTGTAGAAGAAAGGGAACATGCCACAGTGTTAGAGAGACCAAAGTCAGCATTACCTTAAAGGATCACTATAGGGTCAGGAACACAAACATGAATTCATGACCCTATAGTATTAACACCACCATCTAGCCCCCCCTGGACCCCTCATGCCTCCATAAATATAGCAAAATCTATATTCAAGCCTGAAGCTGTAACTCTGCATGCTGTTAGACTCATAAAAACAAGCAGTCTGCTGACATCATTAGAAGTGGTGGCCTGATCCAATCACAGTGCTTCCCCATAGGATTGGCTGAGACTGACAAAGAGGCAGATCAGGGTCAGAGCCAGTATGATTCAAACACAGCCCTGGCCAATCAGCATCTCCTTATATAGATGAATTTCATTAATGAATCTCTATGAGGAAAGTTCAGTGTCTGCATGCAGAGGGAGGAGACACTGAATGTTTGGATGCATTTTAGGCAGCCATGACCCAGGAAGGATCTCTAACAGCCATCTGAGGAGTGGCCAGTGAAGTTATCACTAGGCTGTAATGTAAACACTGCATTTTCTCTGAAAAGACAGTGTTTACAGCAAAAAGCCTGAAGGTAATGATTCTACACACCAGAACAAATTCAATAAGCTGTAGTTTTTCTGGTGACTATAGTGTCCCTTTAACTATATTCATTGTCAGCCAGTCCACACAAGTTTTGTTCCCATACATCCCACTTAAGTTTCCATACTTAAGTAAGAGTATGTGAAAAGTAGTTAGAGTTGCCACCTTTCTTGGAAAAACATACCGGCCTTACTAATTTGCATAATTAAATATGTATGGATGACATCACATGATGTAAATCACAAGGAGTGATATAAGAGAAAATGCTGTAAAATCACCAAAAAACTACTTAGTTTGATTCTGCTGTATAGATGGATTCCTCCCAGTGCCCCCATGTCTCCCAGTGCCTGCATGACTCAGTGCCCCCATGTGTCGATTACTCCAGGTCTCAGTGTTCCTATGTATCAGTGTCTCAGTGACCCATGTCTCCCAGTGTCCCTTAGTGTCTGCCATAATGTCTCCCAGTGTCCCTTAGTGTCTGCCATAACGTCTCCCAGTGTCCCTTATTGTCTGCCATAATGTCTCCCAGTGTCCCTTATTGTCTGCCATAATGTCTCCCAGTGTCCCTTAGTGTCTCAGTGTCTGCCATATTGTCTCCCAGTGTCCCTTAGTGTCTCAGTGTCAGCCATAATGTCTCCCAGTGTCCCTTAGTGTCTCAGTGTCTGCCATATTGTCTCCCAGTGTCCCTTAGTGTCTCAGTGTCTGCCATAATGTCTCCCAGTGTCCCTTAGTGTCTCAGTGTGTGTCTCCTTGCAGCCTTTCCCCCCCATCCCTTACTTCCCTGAACTGTATGCTGTCTCTGCAGGGTGGGAGTTGCTGTCTGGACTCTCTGTAGCTGCACCCCTGCAGAGCAGTGAGTATAGATAGGCAGGGAGGCATATGCTGGAACTTCCTATCCCTGCCTGTCTCCACACACACAGCGACCCCTACTGGCCAGTGCTGGTATTGCAGAGTAATCTCTTGTTTATACTGATAAAAAATACCAGCATTTGTATTGCCAGTATAACTGCAATATTGGCACCGCCAGGCAGCCCCAAATACTGGCTGTGCCAATAAAATAAAAGCCAGATGGAATCCCTAAGAGTAGTGTGAAAAAAAATAATAATTTTTTTTTTTTTTTTTTTAAATCAATGGGCCTATTCCATGGGCCTGGGCCTGGAGCTGCAGCTCCATCAGCCCCTATGTTAATCCGGCCCTGCATACAAGTCTCATCACTCTGCGGCTGCCCAGCCCCGAGCTGTGTATTATATGCACAATGTATGCTAACTCACGTAATGTAATATTCACATATAACTAAAGCGTATTGTCTCGCAAAAAATCCCAATGCCTTCAAACAGAAACCCATTGCAAACAGCGCTGTATCATGCTGTATAGTGCCTTGTGCTGGTTAACACAGTGAGTGCAAACCAGCTCGTTATCACCCACAATTAATTCTCTTCATAAACACTGACAAAACTGTCACAATGATCTTTGGAACAGTACCTAAATTACACAAATTACACAATTCCCACCTATCCATCAAAACTAATTAAAATAGCACACTGACTGCAGTCCACTCTTTCAAATACTTGGGTATGATATTAGACCCCAATCTATATTTTGGCATCCACATAGAAAAACTTGCATCTAAACTTTATCCAAAACTAGGTGCCCTGTACAGAAACAAATCCTGCCTCAGCCCTACAGTAAAGGAAAAGATTGTACAGCAAATGCTGATGCCAATCATTGATTATGGGGATGTAGTATATGCATCTGTATCGCAATCCCACATTAATAAACTCAACACATTGTATAACTCGTTCTGCCGATTTGTGCTACAATGTAATTTCAGGACCCACCATTGTGACATACTAAAAGAACTAAACTGGCTGTCGCTGGAATCCAGACGCACCCTTCATCTTTCCAGCCTTGTGTTTAAGAGCTTTTATGGGAAACTCCCACCCTACCTGAACAAAATGCTCTCCCCAGGTGTTTCCACTACCTATAACCTCCGATCCAGTACCAACACTTTATTTAGTCTACCTCAATACAAAAAGATAGCAGCCCAATCCTCCTTCTCCTACAGAGCGCCGTAATTGTGGAACCAACTCCTGCACACTTTAAAATCTTCCCCAAGCCTAAAGTCATTCAAGAGCTCCCTCTCTACATACCTCAAAACAGAATGCACGTGTCATGGTTGATTATATATTTCCTACCTGTTCTATGTTACATTTTGTATATATTGTGTATTAATATTGTTTTTGTATTTTATTGTACCATAATGTAACAATGCAATGATTTGTGGACCCAGGACATACTTGTAAACGAGAGAAATCTCAATGTATCTTTCCTCGTAAAATATTTTAGAAATAAATAATCCTGATCACAGAGATACCCTCTCAAACCATTTATTCTGCTTTTATCCCACACAAACCACACAGATTAAAATCTTCATGAAGGGACACCCATGACAATTTCTCTCTCTATTCTCCCCAAAGTCCGATTACTAAACCTGGCCAGGGAACTACCGCTTGTCTTGATGTACTGTTACCTATTAGACTCTCAGCTCAGGGCTAGCCAGCCTGTACTCCCCAGCTCAGGGTTGGCCAGCCTGTACTCCCCAGCCCAGGGCTGGCCAGCCTGTATTCCCCAGCTCAGGGCTGGCCAGCCTGTACTAGCCAGCCTGTACTAGCCAGCCTGTACTCCCCAGCTCAGTGCTGGCCAGCCTGTACTCCCCAGCCCAGGGCTGGCCAGCCTGTACTCCCCAGCTCAGGGCTTGCCAGCCTGTACTCCCCAGCCCAGGGCTGGCCAGCCTGTACTCCCCAGCTCAGGGCTGGCCAGCCTGTACTAGCCAGACTGTACTCCCCAGCTCAGGACTAGCCAGCCTGTACTCCCCAGCTCACACTATAAGAGCCCCCCATTCCTAGATGGGTCCTCACTCTCCGTCTTGTAATGTGTGTATTGTGTGAGGGATACAAGTATCGGATTGTAGGCACCATTGACACATAGCGGGTTATTCATCAACGTCTGGATTGTTTGGAAATCAAGGTGTATTTTAATTCTATGTGAAAATACCTGAACTGTGTATATATAACTAAATGGACATGTTTCCGGTTAAGCCGTTGTCGTGAAACCCACTTTGAAATTCCCAACAATTCAAACTTTTGTAAATAGTTTCTTTTTAAAAGCTTGGATGCTTTTTTGCATAAAACAGAATATACAAGGATATAAATGATATGTGTGTAAACAGGTTGTTGATTTAAAGGGACACTATAGTCACCAGAACAACTACAGCTTATTGAATTTGTTCTGGTGAGTAGAATCATTACCTTCAGGCTTTTTGCTGTAAACACTGTCTTTTCAGAGAAAATGCCGTGTTTACATTACAGCCTAGCGATAACTTCACTGGCCACTCCTCAGATAGCTGCTATAGATCCTTCCTGGGTCATGGCTGCCTAAAATGCATCCAAACATTCAGTATCTCCACCCTCTGCATGCAGACACTGAACTTTCCTCATAGAGATTCATTGATTCAATTAATCTCTATGAGGAGATGCTGATTGGCCAGGGCTGTGTTTGAATCATGCTGGCTCTGCCCCGTATCTGCCTCCTTGTCAGTCTCAGCCAATTCTACGGGGAAGCATTGTGATTGGATCAGGCCACCACTTCTAATGATGTCAGAAGACAGCCTCTGAGGCAAACAGCATGCAGAGCTACAGCTTCAGACTTGAATACAAGTAAGATTTTGCTATATTTAGGGAGGCATGAGGGGCACAGGGGGGCTAGATGGTAGTTTTAACACCATAGGGTCAGGAATACATGTTTGTGTTCCTGACCCTATAGTGTTCCTTTAAGGAGAGATCTGATTGCCATTATAGAGCCAAGAAGGATTTTTTTTCATTTTCTTTTTGCATAATTGGAAATGGCTACAACTTGTGTTAATGTCTTCTTATGGATCAACAACATAAAATCATGGGCTTCAAGGTTGAACCTGATTGACTTTAGTCTTTTTAACTACCTAGAAAATGATGTAATTTAATATGTAACTATAACAATATCCAAGCTGGGTAAAAAACTAAATATGTGCCTCATGTGTAGACCGTTTTCCCTTCTGAATTTAGACACAAGAATATATGCAAAAATTCTTCTATTTCATATAATCAACTAACTAGCCACTCTTTTTTGAAAAGGACGAGTATTAATTGTGTCTCATAGAAAACCCATACTCAACACCAGAAATTTTATAAATTTTTTCTACAATATAGACCTTTCAAAACAACAGTGCGTCCACCCCCCCCTCCACCCCACAGTCCCCAGTAGGCAGTAAGTTGTCAGTATCACACTTCTCTTTTGTTTTCAGCCATCTGAACTCACATACGGAACTGAGAACCAGGTTGTTTAGATACTAAAAAGATTCAATATCATTTTTAGAACCCTTTGAAAATCTCTTATATAAAGTATTTTAATTGAAGGGATTCTGGAGTGAGAAAGACGTCAAACAAAACAATTGCCTTGACAAGTTATCTGCTATAATACTGAAATATGGATCAATATTATTTGCTGTAACAATGCGCGGAGTCACCAGTGTGTCCAGGTGAGAACTCATTAACTTTTTGTCACTGTCACTGTTATTTATCTGAATGCACGGTGGCCCTCAGGAGGTTACATTTCATTCAGCCGGCGCTCCTAAGGCAGATACTGGCTGATGCAGACTATTACCAACTCCCATGAACTCCAGTCTGGCTGAGAAGTATATGCTTAGTAATCCACAACAGATGTAGTATAGTATAGATATTTCCTAAAAGGCATGCAGCGACACACATAGTTATCATAAATAAGTCTGTGATCATTGTTCAGAGTTGGCATAAAGATGTGGAACTATCAACGTTTTCTTTATCATATCTAGAAAGAACAGATAGACTGTAAGCACATAACACAACAAGCGTCTGGGGAGTCCTAGCACCATAACCACCACAGCAGGCTGTAGTGGTTCTGGTACTTCACATGCCCCTTTAAGAAAAGCTTGTTTTTAGCAAAAATTTAAAAATAAAGAAAACCTTTTTTAATGACAAATTTTTAATAAGCGTATCACATTGCTTTAGTTTGAGAAATTCTAATTAGTGGTAGTGTACCAAAATCGTGATTTCTAATAAAAGATGTGCATATACCCTTGTAAAATTCTGAGTATGTCAAAGAAAATAGTTCCACAGCCCAACGCGTTTCAACGCAGGCTGCGTCTTCCTCAGTTGAATCTGACACCCACGACAGATATGATAATTTTCCCTTTTGCAGGCAGAACACCATCAACCGGAAGCTATCTTTCTCCTCCCACCCTCCCTCAATTAAATAAATGGGAGAAATTCTCTCTCCCTCATTCTCTTCATGTCCCCTTCCCTCATTTTAAAACAGAAGAAAGGTCCAGGCACTCCAAGACACAAAAAGGCTTGACAAAGACCGTATAGGTCGAAACGTTGTGAGTGGCAGTGGGTTCAATAAATTTGCCTCCAGCCTCCCACCAGAACATAACACTTCTCTCTGCAGTCACTCTTCATGTCCCCTCCCTCCCTCATTTTAACAGCAGAGAAAGGTCCAGGCACTCCAAGACACAAAAAGGCTTGACAAAGACCGTATAGGTCGAAACGTTGTGAGTGGCAGTGGGTTCAATAAATTTGCCTTTTTGTATCTTGGAGTGCCTGGACCTTTCTTCTATTTTCTACTGAGTATTTGATCCCCGGTACTGGGACTGGCCTGGTTGCACCCAGATACATAACACTTGGGACTGAGTGCAGTTTCACATTTCTACTACAACCCTTCCCTCATTTTGACAGCCAAGAGCGCGCGCATGATTGGACCACGGGCCTCCCCTGTGATGGAAGTCCGAGCCAGTGGAGTCCAGGTAAGTGTAATAGTTTTTTTAAAGCAGGTTTTACTCCATATTGAGAGGGACCTTCTCCATTATTCCCAAAGGGGCAAAATACACAGTAGGTCCCCCCTCCCTCATTCCATTTTTATCCTGCAGTGTATGAATTTTACTTAAACTGGCTCATTCCAAGGTTCTCACAATTGTGTTCCAATTGTTAGTGATTGACAGCAGGTTCAATGCTACAATAGCTAAAGTTCAATGACCAGCAGCAGGTGAAATTGGTGTCATTTTTAATAAATAGCTGACATTTGGCAAGTCAAGTGCGAATTGAAAGTGACTTTAATAAGAATTTCAAGTTTAAGGTCAAAGTAACTGACCTGAGAAAAGTTAGCAATGCTTCCAGTTTGGCTCATTTGAATTTAACAGCTTAACCCCTTAAGGACTGAGCCAAATGTACAAGTCCTGAACCAATGCAAAACCTGGAATTTGACAATTTTTTCTGGTCAAACATAATTTACCTCTTTCATATTAAGTGAATACACACTTGTTATATATCATTTATCATTTTTTTGAGGAGAAGCAGGGCTTTCATTTCATATCACATATTTATATATGGAACATAATTTAATATGAATAAAAATAAAAACTCTGTGAGACATTACGAAATAAATGTTTTCCAACGTCTGCATGACATTTTATCTGTGAATGTAATAATACTATTTACAGCAATAAAACACACATATTTGTGTTCATTGATGACCCACGATTACATCGATGTCCCTCATGTACAGGTTTCATGGTGTTTTGGAAAGTTACAGGGTCAAATAAAGAGCTTGCCCATTTCAGTTTTTACACATTGAAATTTGCAAAATTGGTTTGCTGGGCCTATGTTAACTTTGGGACAGTATGGTCAGGGTAGAACTAGAAAATTTCCCGGCATACCTTTGGGCCATCTTGGGTGCATTGACCTGGGTGGGGGTGGGGGTGCAATTGCACAGAGTTCCCCCTCCTGCCAGTCACTTCTTGTAGCATGGCCGAGCATACTGCAGTAGAGAATCTCCTGTATCTTCTACCTGGTCTGACAGGAAGTGCTCACTGAGAGCAACAAACTGCTTTCTGTCAGACCAGGTAGAGGATACAGAAGATCCTTCACCACAGTCCACTTGGCCTCGCTACATCTCCATGTAGCACGGGAGGAGAATGGGATGTGGGAATGAGACACATAGAGTGGGCTGGAAGGGATTACACATGTGGAAGAGCTCGGGGGGAATGAGACACATTGTGGGGCTGGGGGGAGTAAGACACATGGAGGGGTTGGGGGAATGAGACACATGGAGGAGCTGGGGAGAATGAGTCACATGGAGGGGCTGAGGGGAATGAGACACATAGAGGGGTGGTGGGAATGAGATACATGGAGGGGCTGGGGGGGAGTGTGACACATGGAGGGGCTCAGGGGGCGAGTGAGACACATTGTGGGGCTGGGGGGAGTAAGAGGTTGGGGGAATAAGACACATAAAAGGGCTATAGGGTGAGAGACACATGGAGAGACTGGAAAGGAGAATGAGACACATAGAGGCGATAGAGGGGGGAGAATGAAGCACATGGACAGCCTAGGGGGGAAATTAGTTGCATGTGGAGGATAGGGGGAAATGAGACACAGAGTGACTGGGGGAAGAAAGAGACACACAAAGGGGCTGATGGGGAGAAAGAGACACACAAAGGGGCCTGGGAGGGAGAGAGAGAGAGAAACAGAGGGGCTGGGGAAGGAAGTTTCCCCCCATCACCTCCTCCTTCTCTTATTGCATCCCCCCAGTTTTTGCATTTCCTTTGGAGTCAATGGTAAAGTAATTGCCAAGCATTGATGGAACAGCTTGCTCAGTCTTGTTTGCTGCACCCGTGAAGACGCAGGGGGTAGAAAAACAGCCTGGGCTTCATGGTAACGTGTCAACATAGTGAACTGGACTGAGAAATCGGCAGCATATTTACCCCAGATACACAAAGAGTTCTAAAACACAAAGGCAAGCAAGACTGATATCTGAAAATGCAGGTGGATTAATAGTCTGGAAAAACAATGGTGATTTAATAGTAAGGCAGATACGAATAATGTATGTTTTATACTCGTTCCTCTACACATTGTAAAACCCTGAATTGTATACGTGTTGCTCTTGGGGTAATTCCTCTGGTCTTGAAATAGCGTATGCATACTTTATACAGATACTCTGACACTGGGAAGGAAAATAAAACATTTAAATATCCCTAGAAACAAACTGCACACCGAATGCCCTCTGTATGTCCGAAAACCGAGACGCTGACCCTTTAGGATTTGTAAACGATGGCTGTTGATTGAGCCGTGATGTCCACAGGTTATAGGAAGATGTAAGACTTTAATAAGGATTAAACTCCTGTTATGATGGATGTGGACAATATTTAGCAGGATTGTTATTCTGCTCCGGGGGTGATTCCCAACAGTTTAAACAGATGGATCATATACAAAAACACTCAGTGATACATTGTCTCCCTGCAC